CAGTTGCATTTCTGAGCAACCCACCCAGAACCCAGAGGCACCATCAAGCCTTAGCTTTACTTGCGGAGTGTAGCTTAACCTCTCTTAAGGATCTCCCCCTACGGTTTAGGGTGCGATAGAAGCCTGGATAATTGGCAATTCTGTGCTGAGGGTTCCTTACCATAATCTTACTATAACCTACCCCGAAGCTCTGCTCAAGTTATCACAGCACCTGTAGTTAGTAGTGTGATCTAGAGCCGCGGGAACAACCCTATTCCCGTAACCCTAAGCCCGAACCCGAAACTCCAAACCCTAAGTATACAGACCCGAAGCCCTATATCCTAAACCCTACGCTCCAATCCCAAACCCCAATCCCGAAACCTAAACCCTAGACCCTAAAACCCAAAACCCATTCTGAAGGCGCAGCCGAAGGCCAAGATGGTCGCCGGAAACACAGAGGTCGGCATTGAGACGAAGTGGCCTGGTGCATTGGGTGCTTTCTGTAGTCTCCTTGGTTGTTTGTTTTAAAGATTTGTGTTCATATAAAATCCAGGAAAATAATACAACTACTAGTGTTTTTGGTATGGTTCTCAGGGGGTATAGTTTTGTAGGATTGCATTTTGATAACGGCTTGTCCGTTTTATGTGAACATGGTGTTTTTTCAGGGTTTCTTGTGGGAGGATTTGCTGGTTTCGTTTAGAGGGGTTATAGGGTTTATTTACAGTCATGTATAGGTCAGGGTCTAAATAACTAGAGCAGTGGTTTGCGGCATCTGAGAGTAGAATGACATAGGGTTGATAAGGCTATAGTGCCACTAAGTATGTTGCGGTTTCCAGGGTACCTTTCCTGGGTGTAGAGGTTTGCTGATTTGGGGCCTAGGATGGATCCAATGTTGCGGATGTTAAAGATGTTGGGGCCTGCCAGTCTAGGTTTTCATGCTCCTTGGGTTAGTGTTTAAGGATTCAAGGGCTCGCTAGCCCAGAGGGCTGTTGAGGTTGAAAAGGTTTAATCAGAGGGGACAAGGAGGGACCCTTAATAAGGACCCCTACCCTATAATGGGCTATATAATGGGTATATATAATAGCTATATTAAGAGTAAAGACCACCCTTGGGTTTAAGGTCCTTTTTTGGGGGGGAGCTTGATGGGCTTTTGACTGGTCAACCACCGGTGCCAACTATCAATTGAACTCAGGTCCTCGGACCGAACACCAAGTTATCAGCTCTTGCGAAAATCAGCAAACCCTAAACCCTAAACCGCTCCGCTGAAGGTTCAGACTGAGCTCTAGAATTGCTTGGTGGGTGGGTTTCAGGTTTCGTCACTCTGTTGAGCTTCCTGAGACAGTTATATATTGTCTAAGCTCAACTTTTCAACTTTTGGCGCTCTTATGGGGTAGTCGATTCGGAAAGTTTCAACTTTTACTTTATTGGGTTTCCTTTTTAAGAGGGCCAGAAGTAGGGTTAAGACGGTTCAGAATTGGGCCAGTGAGGACACCAGACCGACACCCTGGCCCCAAAATTTAGACTGCAGTATCGCCAGGTACAGATTAAGGGTGGTTGGCTCTCATGCATCTTTGGGCCGATGCGCGCATGCCGATAGGCATAGAAATCTGCGATCCTAAACTCAACCCGAACCCGAGATCACCCAGACAGCTTTGATGTTAAACCCATCTTTAACTCCTCAACTCAACCCGAAACCGCAAAGTAATGTAGGAACCTGATTAAGAAACTCTGGGCCTCTAACCCCCCAAAATAGTAGGATTCACATAAGGAACCCTAATGTTGGCCCACGAGGTCTCTTAAAAAGGTTCCTACATGAATCGCAAAGGTTCAAGCACAGTGAGTTCCCGACCATGATCTCGACCTCCACCGTCGCGGAGCTTCCGGGCCTTGACAGGTTTAGGTTTAGGGTTTGGGGTTCAGGGTTTAGGTTTTAGGGTTTAGGGTTTAGGGTTTAGGTTTAGGGTTTAGGGTTTGCTCTACTATGAGGATATACAGCGGTATTTTAAGTGTTTCTATGCGTGGTCGCAAGGGATCTTTGAGGTTGTTGCAAGGATTGCAATTTAGGTTCTTTTTTGGCTCAGGGTCTAGTGTCGAAGGTTTATGATTGAGAGTTTCATTGTTAGGGCCTCTGGTTCTACACGGATCTGAGAAGACGAAGAGCAAACAGTTTTTGCTAACCACTGAACCCAAAAACGTTAACCACGCCCCAAAACCCTAAGCCCTAAATGCTAGACTGCCCTTATCCTTAAAGGAGCCCTTAAAGAAACCCTTCAAGAGCCCTAAAAGGAACTCCTAAACTTTAGCCTAAACCCTGAACCCTTTAAGAGTGGCTTCTCCCAGGCTCCAGAAGCTTGAGCTGGACTCGTCGGGTACGCTGATCATCGGAGGCCTTAAGTTTTCTTGAAGGGCTCCTTTTGGGCTTTAGGGGTTCGGGGTTTAGGGGTTTAGGGTCTAGTGGTTTCGGGGTTTAGGGTTTAGGGGTTCAGGGTTTAGGGTTATGGGATTGCCCTTGAACCTACACCCTAAAAATGCAAACCTAAACCCTACAACCTAAACTCTTGTCCAACTTCAAAGCCTGAACCTTCCACTGCTTTAAGCTGTTGCAATTTCCTAGGGTCCCCTTATCAAAGCCGAATAGTAGGAAAAACGATACCCTTATTATAAAGCGGCTACCCTAAACCCTAAACCCTGAAGCCCTAAGCCCAAAACCCTACGAGGAATGCGAGTCCAATCGGAAGCGGGAAACCTAAAAGTTTCAAGCCAAGAGCTTTAGGGTTTAGTGTCGAACGTTTATAGGGTTTGGGTTTTGAGGGTTTATGGCTTTAAGGCTAAGGCCTAGAGTTTAGGGGTTTAGCGTTTAGGCTTAGGGTTTAGCTTTTCAGGATTTAGGGTTTAGGGCCTAGGGCTTGGGGTCGTGGTTTGGAGTTGAAGGTTTCGGGGCAAAGCCTCAGTGTTAAGTCTTCGGACGGTATACTTAAAGGAAGTAGGTGGTACTTGGGGTTATAAGTCCCCTAGGTGGGGTTATCCTAATTATATCGAAGAGTCTTTAAGGAACCCCCTTGCATGGTACCCCCCTGTGTATAAGGACCTTTGGTTGCTTGCTGAACATGATGTGACCACGCCACTTACTGTGCGAACACGTGCATACAGAAACATCCTCTCTCTCTCTCTCTCTCGTCTTTCTCTCAGTCTGTCGGGTGCGTCTTCCGAAGCACTTGCATCTGCAGTATGTCGGCTGTGGAATCGCAATGGAAAAGACCCGGATAACTCAATGGTGTCGATTTGGGCGTCGATTCAGATTCGGGATATTTTGTAATTTCTTTTGCATAGAGCCCTGATTCTAGCTACTTTAATTACTGTCGAAATCAACACCTAGTCTAGGTAACTGAAGCCTTGTGGATGTGCAGTGCCATAGCCTCCCATGTCGGCGTCAACTGGCTATGGTACTGAGTATGATAAGAATCCAAAGGGCAAACGCCAGTGCAGAGATGATGCTGTGGTGCCCGCAGCATCAGAAACGGAGGGAGACGAAGGTGTCGGTGTTGGGGGCATTTTCGAGGATGCTGATATGGGATGCGGTGACCATGATGATGGTGATGGCGGCGCGAAGCCGCCGCCGGAGAACGTGTTTGCTCCAATGAGTTGCCTAGCTGCAAATAGTAGTAGTTCGCGCATCAAATTGATCTTTGCTCATTGAAGCATTCCACTAGCACGTCACCGATTGTACCCGATTCCTGATGAGGAGAGCTCCGGTGCCTGGACTTCAAGCTCAAGGTGTACCCCAGCCGGGATGCAGATCTGCAGAATCAATGGAGTGCTGTGAAGATAATGAAACTCGTTTATGAAGAGGACGATGATGACAAGCTACGTTCCTTGCCGCAGATGATATCGTTCCAATCTCGCTTGATATGTGCATTGTTGCCGTTGATGCTTGCCCAAGCAGCTAAGGCAAGCTGTGGAACAGATACGGCACATCGATTCTGGAGGTGCACACAGAGATTTGGCCGGGCACACAGCCTCGGCTATTGCAATCCGCCCGAGATTCCATGGGAGTGCGGGATGAATCAGACCCAGCAACCTGATCCAAATTCAGCTGGATTTAGTAGGCGGTGTCGTGTCTGTCAGGATGCTGGTCAGGCTGCTGTCAAATCCACTGCTGGCTGAGGGCAGACTGTTGGGCGAGAAAGTGCTTCCCACGACAGTCCTCACTGCGGCTCTGGCTTGGGGAACATTGGGCAAACGACGAGAATTGGGGAATCGACAGCATAGCGCACGATGTCTTGAGCTGTTGCTAGAAGCATGCTGCAAAACCGGCCACTTCCGCATCAAGTTCTTTTGTATGACTGATGAGCCACCGCCAGGCGATGATGCCCAATAATCAGCATAAGAGCGGGGTATAGGTATAGTGTTAGTAGCAGCGGGCAGTCCCTGCAAAGCTTGGCGTGGGCTGTGCTAGGTACGATGCCTGTGGAGATGTTGATGCCGGCATCAGGAGCATTTCCACTCCGTCTGCTGGTTGGTCAGCCGACATGGCAGCATGTGGAGTCGATGTGGGATACAGAGATGGAGGATTCATGTCTGAAATGTTTCTTTCCACTCGTGCTTTCGATTGGGCTGCCGGGTCCAGCTACTGTCGCTGAGGACGTTGCGAAGACATGGGTGAAATCACCCGTGGGACAATCTTCGCTGGCGTCTGTGCTGGCTTTCGGCTTGGACCCGTGCCCTGACTCAACGGTTCAAGTCGTGTAGCGCTTCGTGATTCAGTGATCGTGTCTTATCCAGCCAAGCAGGTCCCACAAGCACAAGCGCTTTCGGCCACTTCGTGGCCAATGCCTGTCCTTGCTGTCCCAGGTGGCCAAGTTTTTGGTCGCTTGGATTGCACGTGAGTGTCCTACTGCATTGCACAGTCGGGGTTTAATCAGCAACGATTCCGCCTTGAATATAAGGACGATCATGCGGAAGAATTGACAACGGAAGCTCCAGACCTAACCAAGAAGGTCAACGTGAGACATGTTGTGTCCATGACCCGTCGACACGAAATCGTGCAGATGGTGCGGCAGAGAAAGCACCTCGATTGCAATTGAGGTATGGCAAATCATACAGCCAATCTCAATACCTGACCTGTTTCTTGAATTGAAAGAGTCTCGTGGAATCTGGCAGCAGGAAATTCACTTTGAGTGGTGCCATCCAGCACTTTCGGCTGGCCCTGAGCGTCTGCGACGTGGCTTTCTGGGACATGGCAACTGGGCGGCATCAGGGGAGCTGGCGTTGAATGTTGTGTGGGAGGGTGATATTTCTGCGCCAAACTATCCCAGGTGACCTACCTTGACAAGGCCCAACGGATTTTCGGCGACGAGCCACACCTTCATGTTCCTTTTCTGATTTCTAGCAACTCAGTCAGTGGTGTCGTGATTGTTATCTTGGTTTTGTTGGCGTGGTTGCTTAGTGTTGCTGGTGCATGCTCCTTTAGGTGGCCTTCGACGGCAGCAGTGTTGGAGGCAAGCCATTGGAGGCATACAAGTTTTATAGCGGCACAGCCGCAAGTAGTGTGCGTGCATTTCTTCCCCAATGTACTTCCAAACCATGGAGCTACATGCACTGTATGTTGAAACGACTCAGGTCCCTCGAAGAACGTATCAGCTCACGCACCACCCCTTGCAACTGGGCGTGCACCTTTGCTCGCTGCACCTGCCCATTGCACTGTGCTGAGCTCTTTTTGTCACTGTCTCAGCCTGCCGCTGCTGCAAGCGCATCCTAGATCATTCCGAGGCGGCTCAAATGCATCTGCCTTTCCTCCAGTCTAATTAAACCGGTTTGTCATATCACATTCTGATACAATATGCAGTTGTCTTTCAAGGTAGCTTAGCCTTTAGCCTCTGTGGCTTGTGAGACAGGTTTGTGAGACATGAGAAACAAGCGGCTCTAACAATCTCAAGTCGGAACAGCAGACCCAAGCGAGATAGACTGCGATCGATCTTCATGTCGCTGGCGACTCTCAGCGATAGCGAGTCTGAATCCTTCGAGACCCCGACGCCGACGCAGTCGTCGGCGCACGGGTCGGACTGCCATGCGAAGTAGCCTCGGTGTTGTGATTCATAGAACTTCGCCCACCAAATAATTAATGAGGTCCCCGCACTACACACATCTCCGTTCGGCTCGGTCGGTTTTGGCAGGACTACGACTGGAGCACGCTTCAGCGTGCGTTTGGTGGCATCAAACAAGCTTGGTATACCACCCAGCAGGTGGTGCCGGACGCTGTTCTTCCTGCGCCTGGGCCTGGACTTCTGCTGTCTGTCTGTGGGTTGCCATGATCTACTGTCGCGCACATACCCGTCTTTCTGCTACAGCTTCGATTCAGGAATCATGGCTGGCACAAGCTTCTTGGGCAAGCAGCTGCTGCACCGGCGCCGGGACAGCCGAGATGTCGAGGACAGTCTTGGAGAGCATCGTAAATGCCTCCGGCAGCACAATCAACATGCAAATCTCTACTGTGGCCATGTGGGAGACTGTGCATGCGATTGATTACGTCGGTGGATATGTGGGTTAACAATAACTGAACTAACTAGGGCCTAGGGTCTGTCTGTCGCTGGGTGCATGACTTGACTAAGGAGAAGGAGCCCAAATGCCACCAGCTTCTTCGGGACAACATGCTATGGTGCAGCAAGGTCTCAGGCCGACTTGAAGATCCGTGTTTATACGGCAATATCTTGGACCTCTATCCTGAATTCAAGGATCAGGGGGCTTTTGAAGAGAAGAAGGCGCTCCTCTACAACTGCACCATCAATTCCTCTTGCCCCTGCAGAACACATGGAAGCCCGACCGGGGCGAGGGCAGTGATGTCTTGTTGTGTTCCCAAATCCCACTTCGATGTCAGCGGCCTCCCTTGTCCTGACTTTTCCGCAGCCGGAAAGAGACGTCGTATGGAGGGGCCCACCAACAGCGTCTTCCTTGCTCACGGGCGCTTGCATGGAACTCTGCAAACACCGCTTCTACTTATAGAAAATGTGCAAGCACCATGTCCGTGACAGAGCAAGTTTATGAACATATGTCGTGACCTAGTATTAGTAGTAATGCAGACCCGATCATAACCTCCCCTCCCCCAAGCAATACAAGCTCAGGGACTGGATGTGCAAATGCTGCTGAAGACGCACACTCAGTATGAGCTGTACCAGATCTTCACAGAGCCCAAGGAGCTAGGCTTCGCTGCTACATCCCGAGCACGCACTTATATCATAGCGGCTCACAAGTCCAAGTGCGTGTGCTTGCACGACCCCTTCGAGTTGCATGATGCGATCAAGCGCAGAATGGCTGAGTATGCAAGCACGACTGTAGCTGACTACCTGGTGGCCACGGAGCAGGACATTCTCCTGGAGGCACAAGAAACTGGCCGCGTGCGCAACATTGAACATAGGCCTGGGGTCCAGAACTACTCGTATTACTTGACGGCCCGGGAGCTTGAAAGCCTGCGTATCTTGGACTGCAAATACAGAGAGCAGTTCCGGAGGGAGCCCGGCACGGACGGCAACCTGGTCTATCATTTGGGCGACAACGCTTCCTGGAACACTTCCTGGAGTGCGGTCAGCGGTGCCTTGCCCACGTTCCGACTCGGAGCGAGCAGCTCGAAATACTGGCTGCCGCGGTACCGTCGTTGGCTCACCTCTCGTGAGAAGCTGGTTGCGATGGGTTTTCCGGTGACAGCCGAAACCGCTGAGGCTTTGGGCACGCCTACCGTGTTCGCTACCGATGTCAAGCGTGCCGCGGACATCTTGGGCAATTGTATGCATTTCACTACAGCCGGGATCATGCAGCTCATTGCCCTTTCCTGCTTCGGGCCCGCAGACTTTGAATCATGGGGCCTTGGCTAAGCTTCTTGTCACCAGTACAGATTCTGTGGTCAGACCGCTGAACAGACTAGCAAATGTCATGAGGAGCCATGCAGCAGAACGAGCAAAATCAGTCTTGGCTACTTCTGCCACCACGTGCTTCAACTGTTTCAGGTTAATTGCGCTGCACATGATGACGATGATGATCCGAGAATGCTGTCATTGTTACCTATTGAAATTTGCAGCTTTTCCAGGGTCCTGTACAGGATAGACTGACCTAGAGGTCCTATATAGACTATAGATCGTACGGAACCATCATGGCGTCTGGATTGACAGATTTCTGGCCAGACGGATCACGGCTGGATCCTGAGATGATGGCGGAGGATACTATTCATCGCGCTCCATCGATGAGATCCGACCCGCCTTCCAGACCCAAGCGTGCGGCCAGTGCGAGCTTCGAAGGTGAGCCCTCGGAGCCCAAGCGGCGGGGACGTGCAGCAAAGGCGCCTCCAGCGCCGTCTGTAGCGGAGCCAAGTCCTTCGGTGGCAGCGGCCCAGGTGCAACCGGGATTGTGGAAGTTGGTTGCTGCTCCTTGCCTGATAAGAAATTGCCCGGCTCGACACCATGATTAATTAGCGGTTTGTAGCTTTTTCGAAATCCCAGACCCCAATAATAATACTTGCTTCCCTGTTTAACATCATTAGGACTCTACATTGAGAGAGTACATGGAGGCCGCGGAGCCCATCAAATGCAACAGGAGCTTCACAAACAAGCTCGGGTCCAAGACAATCCGTTTGGCTTTCTACGGAATGTTCAGAAAACTCCCCTCAGACAGCACCGATTCGATTCTTGGTAACACTGGCTTCTGGGTGTGCGGGATGTTCTGTTGCGACTTCAGTTGAGGGCATTTCAAAGTCCGACAGCCTTCGTATTTAGGAATCGAAATTCTGCTCTTGTTTTGGTAAGGACGGACAAGCGCACCCAGACCCAGCGGCTGAAGAACGAGTACCTTCGGCTGAACCAGCCGATGGCGGAATGCTCGCTGGTGGATCTAGTGCGGCGGGTGGAGATAGAGTTTTCAAAGTCCAAGCACTTCGAAGTGCAGAAAGGTCGGGTAGGGGGGGGGGGGGGGGGGGGTTCGCGGTTTGAGTTAAGGGTTTCGAGGATTTGGGGATTGTCTAGGTTAGGGTCTGGGATCTGGGTTATGTTAGGGGTTAGCGTTAGGATCTTATCTGGAATTTACATGATTAATGCAATTGGATGTTGACACAGCAGCCTAGACTTAGACTACAATGACCGCATTGGAACACCTAGCTGAGTATGTACAGTCAGCTGAGTGCAACACCACGTGAGGAACCTGTGGCTCGCCAATATTACCATACCATAGCACCACAACACGGCACCACGCAAAACAACAAAACACTTGCACTGACCAACAATATGGGCACTAACGCTGCTGCGCATCACAGCACATTAATTGGACAAGGCGACACAGCACAACATAGCACCAGCCATGAATCAAGTCCGAACTAACTAACAGCCCCAACAGACGCATATACATATACATATACGCATAATATACATATGCAAATAATACACAGACGCACACACTCACGCATACATACATACATACATACATACACACATACATACATATATACATACATACATACATACATACATAGATACATACATACACGACTACCGCCCGAGTATACATGCATTCATTGATTCACTACGTGCTCACATTACAAGTGAATCTTTAGCAAATGAACCATCAACTCCCAAAGCTAGCACCCATCACCCGCTCATCCGCACTACACCCGCAGACCCGCGCTCCTGGCAGGCGGCCGTGGCTGGCTGGTTCTCTGCGGCGACCAGTTCCGCAGACTCCCAGAGCCTAAGAGTGGCAGCTGGGAGGTCACTCAGCCCTTCATTAACTTAAGCTCCGCTCTGGATCATTGCACGATTGAACCCACCACCGGCAGCTGCGATGATACTGCCCAGGTTGAGACCGACCCAGCCACAGGGGTGCCGTTTCTCGACGACAAGGACCATTCCAGGATGTGGGCTATCTCTCCCTTCCAGAGCAAGGCCAGGGTGCTATTTGCTAATGTTAAATATAGTACGGCATAGGAGGACCCCTGTCATATTTTTCGCCAATTCAGAAATTCAATGTTTGTAGTCGTATAATAATAGATTCGATTGACTGAAATCAGAAGTTTAACATTACTTCACTTCGGAAGCCCGGAGCCACAAATCCTCAAGCCACATGCCCAAGGACGAGGGTCGCGACGTGTTGCCCAACCTTGCTATGTCGGACAGGGATGCCGATGCCAGCAGCAACCCAGCTGCCGTTGTCGTCCCAGGCACAGGAAGCAATGCTGCCCGACTTCCCCCCGGCACGACACTTGGTGCCACCGGTGTCAGGGATGTCACGTCGGCTGCGGCTGGTACTTGGATCGGAATCATTGAGAAGTTCACCTTAATTAAATTACTTTGACGTAGGCTCGTTAGGATAATATTCATATGACGGTACGAACCTGAGCCTGGAGACATTGCAGCATAAGGGTTCAAGGTTTTAAGGGTTTAGGTTTAGGGGTTTTCTGGGTAGTGGCGTTGAGGCTTTAGTGTTTAAAATTAAGATAATGGGTTTGTACGATAGGGGCGATTAACTGAAGTCTGAAGGTGCTGTCGAAACCACTATCAAGCTCGTGTGCTACTGTGAAATGGAGCGCGCGCACTGCGGCGTGTGCGGGCGCGGCTATGTGCAGGAAGCAATGAGGGGGTTCGCGCCGAAAACAACAACCGACCCCAAGCCAGACCTTCCAGCAACAGCCGTAGCAGCATCACTACCTCCACCCGTGCTGCCCTCCACGCTTCCGCCTTCGACCGGCCCTTCGACCAACCCAGCTCCTTTGCCCGGAGCCACCCCGCCCGTGTCAGGACCACCTCCGACACCGAGCCAAGCTCCTGTGCGGCCGAGCTTGCCGCTTCCACCTGCTGTGCCACTTCCTGGTGCCAGTCCGCCGCCTGCTGCAGCCAGCTCCCTGCCTGCGACCAGTCCACCAGCCGCTGCACCGTCACCCAAGCCAACCAGTCCACCAGCCGCACCGGTACCCACCTCCCGTGCGCCAGCTGCGCCAGCTCCTTTGCCGGGCTGTTTGCCGCCGAACCCTGCCACGCCGAAAACCAGTCCGCCTACGGCTTTTCCAAGCTTTGTGCCGTCGGTCACACCCCTGCCTGCTGGTCTTCCGGCACCTGCTGTTTTGCCGACCTCCCCACCTGCCGTTCTGCCGACTGGGTCGCCTGTCGTTTTGCCAAGCGCGCCACTTGCAGGTCCACCAGCTCCTTGCTCCGTGCCGCTCCTGTCCCCGGCCAATTTGCAGCCTGCCAATCCAATCGGCACTTCTGCGAAGGCTCCCGTTCCCTTCTCAGGCACACTGCCACCGCACAGCTTGGCTTACCCACCCGGGCCGCACGTGAACCCGCCACCGTACAGCAGCTGCTTCACGGCACCCGCGACCGTTGCTGGAGGCATTTCGTTTTCTGGGCACGGGCATCAGAAGGGAATGGGAAAGAGAATAGAAGCTTTCGTCATGTTCGTGGATTCGGAGTCCAGGATAATGATAAAGCCTGTTTTGTGGCGCAGCTCACCTTGGATTGGATCTCTCCCTAAATTAGCATTCTGATTCTGGATAATCACGGTATAGGGTTGTGCATAGACTCTGAGACTCTGTGTGCCCCGTATTACACAACTGAAGAGACATAGGGAGAGGGAGAGAGAGAGAGAGAGAGAGAGAGAGAGAGAGAGAGAGAGATAGAGAGAGAGAGATAGAGAGAGAGAAAGAGAGAAAGAGAGAGCGGGAGCCAGAGCGCGACAAAGAGAACCTTGCCAAAACAACGGATAGAATAAACAAATTAATGATCATACAATTAGTGATCTCGAAGGATACCAGATATGTGATCAACTCTGGCCAGGCAGCCTATGGGGAGGCGTTCCTCACGGGATGCCAGGCAGTTTCCTGAAACACAGGGCATCGGTGCAGATGACTCCAGCTTTCAGTTCATTCTGATATCTAACTTACTAACACCGAAGCAGGAATTAAGCCTGTCTCAATGGTTACCATTCATTATCTAGCACTGAAAGCATTCAGCCAGTACCCATTCCGATATTTGTTATCTATTCCGATATCTGTTATGTATCATCGACTCAGTCTGTAGTATCAGAGGTTCCCAGGTCTGAGAATGTAACATTGAGTCAGCAGGCATTAGGCCGTGAGGGTTTAGTAATTGGGGGTTTTAGGGTTTGGGGTTTCGGGCGCTAGGGTTTAAGCTTCAGGCAACCTGGAACCCGATGCCGGACTCGGGGCAGTCTCAATACTCGATGGTTCCCATTCTCAGAAGAAAAATGGCGATACACTGGTAAACATTCAACATAAACCCTACTAAGCCTAAATCAGAAGCCCCGCACCCTAAACCCTGAACCCGAAACCCTAAACTCTAAATCTTGAGCCAACACCCTAAAGCCTCAACTCTGAACCCTAAGCCCTACACCCTAAACCTTATAAGCCTTTTACATTGACAAAGCAGGAATTGAGCCACGAGTCTCAATGTTTCCTCTGATATCTACCACTGAGATTCAAATAGGACATGGTCTCGTTGTTGCCTGGCGCACAGGTCCGGCAGGAGCACCGGCATGGACCAACGCCTCAGTGGGGCATGCAGGCTTCGGGGGTGAAGTCGTTCTCTTTGTGTGGAGTCCTGACTTTTGTTAATTGTAGCATAGCAGTCGAAACAGTCGTGTCCTTCTCATTTCGTTTTCCGACTGGAATCAGGGTTCAATTTCAGATTGAAGTTGCTACATACTTGTTACTTGAGTAACGCATAGATGTTCGAAGTCTATACATCTGACGCTGTCGGTAGCGGATTACGATCGCAGCCCGATACCAAACAACAGTCCACAGACACGAAACGGGAACCCGGTGGATCACGCGTGCCGGCATGGGGTCTGGGATTCTGGGATTTTGTAGAAATTAGGCGGGCTTCAAGAATACATTGAATCTGTTGCTATGTGTAAGGTTAGGTTGCATCAATGCCAAGCGTTCTTGGTTGGCTTCGGCAAGTGCATATGATTTCCAGTAGATCTCAAGCATCTTGTTGCGTGAATCAGGCAACAAGAATTGAGACTTGATGCCAGGCCAGTCAATCTTGCAGAATTCCGACCGGATGTTCTGCAACGAGTGAGCGAATAAGAGGAAGACTTGTCGGCCCGGCAAGTGGCTGGGCATGGGCTGGCTGGGGCTGGGGTGGCTGGTGAACGGGCTTGGCTTGGCCAGCTCAGATAATGGCAGCTCAGATAATGGCTGGGCCGCACGCGGCATCCTCCGCACGCCTGCGCGCGGGTGCTGTGGGGGGGTTCTGCAGCGGGTTACCATCGTCCTCCTAAGGGGGGAGGACCATGCGACCCCGCTGCCAACAATGTCCGATGACGCCTGGTGGCATGCGACCCCGCTGCCAACAATGTCCCGTGACGCCTGGTGGCGCCTGTGCGGCGGGGGGCGGTTCCGCAGGGGGGTACCATCGTCCTCCTAAGGGGGAGGACCATGGTACCCCCCTGTGGATAAGGGCTGTGGGCCTTGTTCGGGGAGTGTGCGGCGGAGGCGGTTCCGCAGCGGGGTACCATCGTCCTCCTAATAAGGGAGGACCATGGTACCCCCCTGTGGATAAGGGGTTGTGGGTGCAGCGCGGGGGGCGGTTCCGCAGCGGGTTACCATCGTCCTCCTAAGGGGTAAGAACCATGGCTGTGTGCCTTGTTTGGGCGCGGGTTCCGGAGAGGGTTAGCAGGGCAGGGGCAGGGGCAGCAGGGGCAGGGCAGGGCAGGCAGGAGCAGAGGAAGGGGCAGGGGCAGGGGCAGGGGCAGGGGCAGGGGCACGGGAGGGGGGGGGAGGGGGACGGCAGCCCCTGGGCAGGAGGGGCAGGGGCAGGGGCAGTACAGGGCAGGAGGGTAGGGCAGTTCAGTACAAAGCCAGGACATGTTTCGGCTGTGCATCACTGAGAATGCACTGCCAATCTGCGGCGAGTTGCTGAAAAGAATCGCAAACGATCACAAAGCTGTTTGATTTATGACACATCAAACTCAAAAATCAGACTCGGAAAGCTGCGGGCCGTGTCGAAAGGGATCACAAAGCCGTCTGATTTATGACACATCAAACTGAAAAACCAGACTCGGAAAGCTGCGGAGCGTGCCGCGAAGGATCGCAAAGCCGTCTGATTTACGACACATCAAACTGAAAAATCAGACTCGGTATGCTGTGGGGCGTGCCGAAAAGGATCGCAAAGCCGGCTGGGCGATGACACATCAAACTGAAGAATCAGACTCGGAAAGCTGTGGATTGCGCCGAAAAAGATCACAAAGCCGTCTGATTTATGACACATCAATCAAATCAGATTCGGAAAGTTGCGGTGCGTGCCGAAAGGGATCACAAAGCCGTCTGATTTATGACACAAACTGAAAAATCAGATTCGGAAAGCTGCGGAGCGTGCCGCGAAGGATCGCAAAGCCGTCTGATTTATGACACATCAAACTGACAAATCAGACTCGATATGCTGTGGGGCGTGCCGAAAAGGATCGCAAAGCCGGCTGGGCGATGACACATCAAACTGAAAATCAGACTCGGAAAGCTGTGGATTGCGCCGAAAAAGATCACAAACCGGCCTGAGTTATGACACATGAATCTGAAGAATCAGACCCAGTTAGCTGCGAAACTCAGGATACACCTTGCTTCTGTTCAGGGCTTCAAGCGGTATGTCGGCACGCGTGTTCCACAACGGGTTCTCCCTCGCCCAATGTTACTATTGTCTCACCAATAGTATTTTTTTTTAGAATACGAGCCCGATGCTGTGCACATCTCGTGCTACCCGGCCAGGAGTGGCTCCGTTCATGTCAGTGTACACCTTCGCTCTACTTCGGGTTGACCTAAGCGATGTGAAATCCTTGAAGTTTAGGCTTCAGGGTTGAATTGTTTCCCGATTTAGCGCTGCAGGCGTGTTCAAGGGTCAGGAATTGAAATCTGGGTGAGTAGGCCAGGCAGCTCCAGGTTTCGTGTGTTGCAGGTAGAATTTAGAAGAAGTATGTTCCCTTCACTTCGTGGTTCTCCTTTGATGGGGGCTGTTACCGTGGACTCGCAGAGCTGGGGTCATCTTCAAACAAATAACAGAATTCTTAGGCACAGTTTCCGCGTCTGGACCTTCGTGGTCAGCTTCTATAGCATTATGTCATTGTCAATTGTAGGGTGGAGCGGGCCCACTTCCCCCTTGAAACCCACGAACCAACCTTCGCTGTAGCCCAGAAACGCAATCTCGGAGTCTGACTGAATGGCAAAGGTGACGGAAGCTGGGGCTGACCTGCAAGCTTCGTGGACATCAGGACAAGGTTGCCTCACGGTGAGGTTTGTGTTCGGGCTAAGCCTGTGATATCTGTCCAAAGTGAGTAGACCCACTCATGAGTCAAAGTTTACACATCTTTTGCAGGACACCAAGTACGCGCTGATACTAAGAAATACAAAGAACTAAGTTTCATCCAATGTGCTACGTAGATTCTACTATTGCTGTTCCAGTAACTCCGTCAGAGAGCATTCAACTACACTAGCAGGCCGCACGTAGAACTGCACAAGTGTGCAGCATCCCCAGGGATGAATGGCGAACACGCCAAATCAACTCATTCATCCGATGACCCGATGCTCCTCTAGGATGTCTCTCGTAGTTCCAACCAATGTGCTGGACCCATAACTGAACCGCCTGCTCCGGATCAGGTGATGACTACGACGGCGAGGAATGGAACGGAGAGTGGGGCGAGGAGGAGTGGAGCAGCGACCAGTGGAGCAACCCTGCAGATCCAATGCAAGGCTAGACAGTAGCTAGCGCGAAAGAACGATACTGGGATTTGGGTTCGGGGCTTCCCCACAGGGCTCAATACCCCTAATTCAAAATAGGGAATATACTAGATTTCTTACATTTCAGTGGCTTCATAATATTCTGATTTAATTTAAGTTAACAGTTATGTGTCTGAACTGAGGGGTATTGAGCTTTGTGGGTCAAGGCTTAAGGTTTGGATTTGGGGCTTTTAATTACTGGTTTTGGAACGGCTCAGAGCATCAAACCAACTCCCCACCAACGGCTTGAACAGACGATCCCCTTCTAACTCACCCTTACTTGCAGGCTCGGAGGCGTGCATGTACAAGCTCCATTATGTTTATCCTATGTACTTTCCTTACATGTTACAGTGTCCCGTCATCCTCCAATAGCAATAATATAGTTGTAATAAACGTCCTCCCTGTCCTACGGTTACAGTTCAACACAACCACAACCAAAAGCCCCATGCACAGGTGGCCCAGGATTTGCAACCATCGGCACTGGCGCTCCTACTGGAGAGATCGACATCGACGCGGCAAGCACTGCGGCGTCCTCGAACCCATCGAAAGCAAGCCGCACACATTCGTCGCATGGGGGTTTCTGATGGTCTTCCGAAGGAGGGACCCAAGCTACCCAGACGGGCATGCTTTGTAGCAGTGTGCCAGAAGATTGCTTCACCTCCCGGGAACCTGTGTTCTGGAGGAATAGGATCTGGGTCTGCATTTCAGGGGCTTTCGCAGCCTCGAACATTTAGATCTTTCAATCTTGCGCATGTCTTCCATACATGCGATTCACAGACTGCTGTGGGCGTGAAGCCGGCCATAGCATCTTTGCTCAGGACAAAAAAGCAGCTGAACTGTGCGTGGTGAGTGGTTGTCTGAACTTGAAGCTTTCGCCGATGACAGCATGAGCAAGGGGTCGGACATGCAATATCATCATCCAAGGCACTACCGGCGCTGACTTGTGCGGACCAACACCTCGAGAGGCTGCATCGCAAGTCTGGCTTGTTGCTGTAAGTAAGCTATCCTGTCATGTTGCGGACTAATGATTAATACAGTGCTTCGGCCTTTATGCTGGCATCGTGTTTTAGTAACTTAGCATCTTAATTAGTCTTGTCGTTCGTGGTGTCGATGTTTGCATAATAGACCCCGCCGGGCAGGAACTTCGGGACCAACAACAGCCTGGATCCTCCTGAAGAAATTCCGTTCAAGGGTCGCAAGACACTCCTGGGATGCTTGGCCTCTCGTCCCGTCACATGTGGGCAAGCTTAGGATCAAATCAAGGGCAATACGCATTGCATCATTCAGAGTTTATGGGACTTCCAAAGAATCCCAACCCCAGGCTCTGGCAAGGGGCCTCAACACGTCGATGCTGGCAATGACGGGCCACGACCTCACGTTCTTGAGCCGTGGCTGGGTCAGTATCTCTCATTATCATCATAACTAGAATTGCGCGGGAAGTCTACATTGCATTTGTCGAGATGCGCATCAGGATTCATCCCCAGGCCCAGCGCCCCCCGGGCCCCGATGATGTCGCAATCAATCCTTGGCCTCTACTTTACTCTGTATGTGTCAACAGCCATGAACCAAGGAGACCGCAAAAGCTTCTGGTTGCTGGCGAGCCCCTACCGGAGTACTTGACGCCCCCCGGTCTCAATGACCGACCGCACATGTGCATCGTGGCTTGGCCTGCGTCGGCACTAAAATATTAAAACTGCAACACCTACCTCAATGTCTCGGTTTGTACTCGGGTTGTTGTTCTGGTGGTTCTCTAGGTCGCCGACGAAGAGTCCCTGCAGTTCAAAGCGGCTTACATGTTGGGCTACGAAGCCGGCCTCCGCATCTACATAGAACCGGAAGGCTGTCACCCACTGTGGAACACAGTAAAATGTTCCATCCGGAGAGCCGGGAAACAGATACCGTTCCTCAAGAGTCTGATTTGCTGCAGCTGTCTGCACGGGCCTTACAGGTCCGGCAAAAATCAGCAGTCTTTTCAGGACTGGTATTGAAGTGTCAAGAGATTAGGGGATGGGGAAATAGTAAATCAGAGGTTTGCTGCCCGGGCTTAGGCTTTGCGTTTCAATTCCCAACCCTGATACAGGAGGCAGCCGAAGTCTTCGCAAAGACCCTCAGTTTCGACGAGTTCCAGGAACTCCAGGAACTCATGATCGCGGACGGGGCGCCAGAGGTGCCAGCCAACGCGGCCGCGATCCCGGAGCTAGCCCTTGTGCGGAACCTCCCTACTTTGGCTCCTCGTGCTGCATGTTGGTTGGACGCCTAAAGCTAGAAGATCTTAAGTGCCAAACCCTAGATTCCCAAAACCGCCCTAAACTCCCTTAACCCTAAAACCCTAGGAAAGCCCTACACTCAAACCCGAATACCTCAGAACGTAGACCTTGGCCCTACCCAAGGCTCCCTTTCATGCAAGCACTTACTAACAAAGGCAAGAGCACACTAGCTAGTCAAACAGGTGAAAGCGAAAACGTGGTTTGGGTCGATCGACGCATTGGGTTGGCTATGTGGCAACTGGTCCCTACTCAGTGCTATCATGGATCACTTGGTGGCATTGGATGAATCCCGGCTGCGAAACTAGATCTAATCTATAGCTCGAAAGTTGCACGTCGTTGTGTGTGGTGCAGCACGCGGTCATGACATGTCTGACATGGTAACAGGTAAACTCTAGAATTCGTGCAGTTCTGACTGCAGCTGTAGTGCAGCAGCCGTGCGGGTCGAGTCAAGTGGGAACTACCTCACCGGTTGCACTTAGCTGCCATGTCCTCTGGAGATCTTGTGACACCGCCAGACAAGATCAGGCGTGCACTGTCTTCCCCGCCCGAGGCTGGCGACGTGCGCACGCCCCCGCGGATCAATAAGCGGAAGCGTGCACAAGCCTCATGTGATCTTGCTGACATGGAGGAAGTTAGGCCCATGATGATGACAATGACACCGCCTCGTCCGACCAGCCGTGGAATGCCGCGGACGCCAGCTGCCGACGCTCACCGTCAAAGCGAATCCTCAGCAACGCAGAATCAGAAGCCTGCTGATGCGTCGAAGACAAGCGATGGCAAAGTCAGCGAAGCTCCCTGAGTGGTTCTTTGCGTGCTCAGTTCTCTGTAGCGTGACTTTCTGGTCAGCAGAGCCTAGTGTCATTATCTGAAACACCACAAGGTCAGCATTGCTGCCCACCGGGTGTTGCGATTTTATGACAAACAGTACCCAGTCCGAAAGGCAGGAAAACAAGTCGTGCGCAAGGTCTCCGGCTGCTGTGGTTCCTCGCATTTAAATTTGAGTGTCTGATTATCTACTTTCTGGCCGAGGACGGGGATCCACTCGAAGAGGAGGGTTCAGACGCCGATGCCGAAGATGATCAAGCCGAAGCTGAGCAAGAACCTGATGGCGATGATGGTGCGAAACAGGACCGATGGTGGGCTTGCTGCGGTGGTGCCGAGCTCTGTCCTTGTTGTTCCTAGTGTGTTTACTAGGCTGCTTTTGTGACGAGGCCAAGGGCTTGTCATATCACAAGTGGTCAAGCTTCACTTGTTTCGGGGGAGAGGGATACTTTAAAATCTGCTGCCAGCCGGTACTGAGGGATACATGACGGATCGTTTGAACTTTCTATTAATCTCTGTGCAGGATGAAGAGCCGCCGGCAAGTGAACCGGCAGCGGCTCAAGCCGAGCCGAAAACCAAAGGCGAGCTGCTTATGCAGCTCAAGAGCCAGCACAAGAACACAATGCGCTTGGTGGCCGCGCTGCTACACGACCGTGACTTGCGTGTGGAGCTGAAGCAGATTCAGCTTGGATCTGGGCCCATGCATGCAGAGTACCGAGCATTCCTGAAAAATCAAACTCAGGGGCAGGATTGCTTGCTTGTTTGGCTCTACTAGCTTTGTGTTTTCGGGCTCTGACGGGCTTCTACTATATCCAGGTTCCATTCAGAATTCGTTCGTATAGTTCCACCCCACAATTCATAGCATAGAATAAATTTAGATGGCCAGTTCTTGGGGGAGGACGCCTCTTTGACTTGGGCAGCAGACAGGGCCACGGGACATGGGTGGTATCGCTGTGTGTTGGACACACTTGCGCTCATCCACGACCCTGTTACTCTCGCTGCCTGCGAAGTCACAGCCTCTCCTGGACCAGCCAAGCTGCCTGACAGCAGCGTCTTGGAGGCACAGGAATGGTTTCGGGATGAGCAAGAGAACCTGAAGGAGCTGTGGTTGTACTTGTTTGAAGTCGTCAGCAAGAGAACGTGGGGTCAGATCCAACATGCTGTTCTATTCCCGCAGATGCTAGCAGCTGCACTGAGTCATGACAAAAGGGCCGCAGCTGCAGGCATGAGTGCAGGAAAGAAGACTTGGGATGCGATCCTAAGGGCGGAAGACATGCAGTACCATGGAGCCGGCCTGGGCGGCATCTCTGCTGCCTCACGAGTGTCCTTGGGTCACATCATGAACGATTTGCACTTCAATCGGCAAAACTTCGCGAGGGAATGTGCCGTTGTGTGCCAAGGGGCACAGTGGCAGCACGACTACAAGGATGTTCAGGACCTGGCGCGGTCCGTTTTCGCCAAACCCTTGAACACGAAGTTCGATCTGGAAGACTGCTTCGCCCATCTCGCTTCGGTGAACCAGCTCACAACCAAAGCTTCTCCTTTCAACAAGTGTTTTTGCTGCATTCCACCCATAGACAATCCCTGGTGCTAACCACCCTCTCCAATAAGAATATCCCATACCCGCATTGCAAAATCTGTTTGTGTCATTAGTAATATGTGTGTGAGTTCTCTGGCAAGCCCCCATCCCAGCGGACAGGGCCATTACGCTTCTATTCTAGAGGATTTCCTGTCGACGTATTATTTAAGATATGATTTTGAATTGAATGTTGTCCGAGTGGACCCATCTGATTCCCTTGCCCTGCAACCCCAAGCCAAGTTCGGGTTTGAGGGTTTAAAACTTACACTTGGTTAGGGTGGGTCACTTTGGAATTTGAGGCTTTATTACGGGATAGTGTTGTTATTAATATTAGTGGATCGGGAATATAATAACCCTTGCCCAAGTCGGGTTTGATTTGATTCAGCAACCAGAAACTGTCTCAGGTGGACAAGATATTTCTACGCCACAAGTATGCCCTCCGTCGCCAACAACAATCCGGAGTATCACTGGCCCCAGCTGGAAACCAGTCTTCGAGATCATGCGCAGATGAAGCGGCAGTGCCCCGAGGACAAGAAGAAAGTGTACGGCAAAGCTTTCAAAGTCACGGAGCCCCTGGACCCTGGCGTGCGAAAAGATGGTTTCGTGAAATGCAAGCTGAGCAGCACGAAGAAAGCCGGCATCATCAGCAATCAGAAGGCCAGTTGTGCGACGGCCTGGTTGGCAGCAAACCGTGGGAACGACTTTGCAGATGCTGGGCATGCTTGGACAGGTCTGTTGACAAAATTCCAACTGACTGTAGTCTGCCCATTTCAATACCCCAAGCACCCCAAAGCCCGAAGATTTGTTGTTGCAAGTAAGCCATACACTCAGAGCATACGTAAGCGCTGAAACGAATTATTTACGAAGCCTCAAACTTTCAAGAGCTCTTGCTTCGGGCCGCAACCAGCAACATGCACAGGCTGCTTCTTTGGCGCTGGGCACCTTTACCAGAACACCCAGACCAGCCAAGTGGTGCTGTGCCTGGGCTTTCGCGAGTACGGAGCCTTGGCTGTCGTGCTCAAGGAAGTGAAGGCTGGAGACAAGGACACTCAACTGCCGTCGGCTAATTGGATCTGATCTGCTTGTACTGTATAACAGAATACTGCTAAGAAGTCATAACTTAAAGACTTATTTGAAGGACTTCTATGTGATCGCGTCCACGCCCACTCCAGCTGACTCACTGCTGCTTCCCAGCTGGCTCTTCAACAACACAGTGTCGGAGGAATCACTGTGGAAGCACGTGCCGATGAAGCTGATGCACCCACTCCTTTTGCCAGCCGACATTAGAGATGAGCATACTGTGGCCATGGCACGAATCGGACCCAACGAGGGTCTTGTCAAGAGCGCGCTGCAGAACGGTGTGATGCTGACCATGAAGATGTATCAGAGCTTGCATGCGTGCTTTGGCTTCGATTTGCCCGGCAAGGGCAGCGGCTCGGGTAAACGTGGCAGAATGATCAAAGTGGACTATTTTCGCGCGGCCGTGAACTTTTTCCTGAAGGACCTCTCCGAGGAGGAAAAGACGGAGTTGGTGGAGAAGCTCATGGGAAAGAGGCTGCGCCACTTGCGAACCGCGTGCCCGCAAGAGGTCATGGATGCTTTCAATGCATTGCCGACAGATGACCAGCAGTCCCTTGGAACAATCAAGTTCTTGCAGAAGGACCAGTCTGATATCAATCAGCGGAGCAAGCTTCGAGAACCACGGTCTTTGAATGCACGGGTGCACTTCACGCCGGACGACCTGAAGGATTTGGTCCCCCCCGTCCCCGGCTCCTACATCAATCGACACCCGGTGCTGAAGCGGTATCAGGCATTCTATCCAGTGAACAGTTTCCCAGCTGCACGTAATCATTGACTATTTCTGCAAATCAAGGTTTTAAAGCTTTTGCAATTAGGATTGAATTGAAAGATTGAAAGGATCCCAGCTTATGTTTTTATCTAGTGCACTGAGCCTTAGATTCCACACCCTAGCGAAACCACAGCCTGCAGCCACGATGTCACGGGCTTGAGGGGTGAATGACTGCTGGGATCAAAGCAATCCCAATTTTAGTAAGACCTTAACCCTAAGCCCTACCCCAACACTACTAAGTACTAAGTAGCCATTCAATGGGGTTTGCACAGCCCAAACCCTGAATCTTAACTAACTGTGTAAAACAGCCGAATATTGCAGGTGCGGTGCTCTCTGCCGGATCCACGGAGCCGAAAGTTTTCTTCAAGTCGCGATCAGCCACATGGGAGGGCCCTGAGAGAAATCTCAGCGAAGGGAATGCTCTTTGGGAAGTGGTCTCGTGGGCGTGGGACATGCACTCCCAGCACGTGCCGGTCGATCCCACGACATATGTGTGTTAGCCTAAGTTTCCAGCTTTAGTGAGTAATCCCAGTTCTATCCTGCAATGTCCCGACCGGCTTGGGATTGGGTCTCCAATGGTGCTAAATGAGCTTGCTGAGGCCTACCAAGGGAGATTGTGATGATGCAGTTGCCGCCCTGAAAGCTGCCGCGTCCGAAGCAAGTGCTGTGCCCAAAGCCTCCGATGCCTCTGCAAAAGCAGCAAAGGTCTCAGAGCCAAATGATGCAAAAGCAAAGGCCGCAGCAAAGTCCTCTGCTGCAAAAGCTAAAGCAAAGGCCACGGCAAAGTCAAAGGCTACAGCCAAGGCCAAGGGGGAACCCAAGCGTGGTGGCAGGGGCAGAGGGAGGCGAGGTGGCCGAGCGTGACGGTCACACGGGCTTTCCGTAGGTTCTTACTACTGTGTCGTGTGTGAAGATATACGATCTTTTTCGAGATTTAGGCTATACTGTACTATAACGTAAATAGCTCGCATTGATGGAAGTGTTATTGATTTTATAGCAAACCTAAAGGTATTGTACCGTGAGGTTTCAGTAATAGATACAAAGGATTTAGTTGGAGTCGAGTGTCGTGTCAAGCTAATAGTCTTGGGCCCCGGAATTCTTCGGCAACTGATGCTTCTGTCGTCAATAATTGAGTTAGAGTGCTAAACGATCACGAACGGGCCCTCATACCTTCCACACTGCTCCGCATGATCCGAAGCTGAAGTTTCGAGACCGAGACGAGCCCAACTGCCAAAAAAGTCACGCGCAGATGCAGCCAAGGCGCTTCCGATTGAATGCTTGGCTTTGAGGTTTCAGGCGCATGGCAGGATTCCGGGCTGCTAGGGCATGTTTTGTGTTGGTACGTTTAGTGGCTGTACGACCATTGGAACAAAGCTGCAAGGCAGTATCTAAGGCTGCTAGGCTTTGGTCTTTTTGGTATTCGGAATAGCTGTATGAGCCATGGAACCAATCGTTTAAGCTTCATCTATAACAAGGCACTGGAGCCTTATATGCAGGGGGGTACCATGCAAGGGGGTCCCTCAAGGAGTCTTCGATTATATAAAACCTACCTATAACCGACCTTACTTACTAAGTCCCATGAGCCTTTAAGAGTAGTAGTCCTTCGGTTGATGATATAAATCCTGCATGACCCATAATAAGGAATATACCATAATTCCCATAGTTTGGGGTCTTTAAGGTAATGCAGGATTTATCTCATCAACCAAAGCTAAAGAACCGAAGGCAGAATCGATATCCTGTAAGCCTTGAGAACCATTTCAGAGAAGGGGCTTTATGATTTTGGGATTGGGAAATGGCTTATATAGGGCTTTGTGGCTTTTTGTTTCGGGTTTTTAGTGGGTTTGTTGTTCAGAAAGTGCTTCGTAACATGAGAGGTTCTCGAAATCCGTCAACGCCTGTAATGTGAACCACACATCCCATCTCTGCGTGCACTGTGGCTCATGCAAATTTTAAGTTTGCCAAGCTCTACAGCCCAAAAATCCCACAACGCCCAAATGCCGAAGCCCGTCAACACGTGCAAAGCTTGCATGCCTATACTCCCCACGCCCACGCTAGATCCTTTGATCACCGATTTTGCTCCGTCCATGATCACAAACGAACAAAGCTATAAGCTCCGCGCCCTCAGCCCTAAACTCTGAACACTAAGCCGTAACCTTTTCGTTTAGGGTGTGGGTTTAAGGGTGAGTTTCCCTTAGACCCTAAACCCTAAACCCCAAAACACGGCAGCCTCCGGCAGCCTCTTTCGTCCTTCTTCAAGCGCCTCCCGTGGCTTTAAATCCGAATCCAATTAGGGGTACCTTATTTTGGGTCCTTAGAATACAGGTCCTGCTGTTTAGGACATTATGTAAGGGTCCCCTATATTCGGAAACTCCCATGTGCCAGAAGGGACCAAGACCTTACTCTCAGTGCTTGAGCGCACCGATAAAGGCCCTTCACAATTCCATTCAACCCCTAAAGAAACCTTGTAGAATCCTTTAAGCATCCCGTCTAAAATCGTCAGCAAGCAGAAGCCCAAAAACAAAAGCGCTGAAACCCTAGAGTCTAACTTCTAAACCCCAAACCCTCCTAAACGCTCGGCTCGCAACCCCAACGCTGAAGCATAAACCCTAAGTGCTCCCCCTAAGGCCACCGAAGCCCTGACACGCAGGCTCCAAAAGCCCTTCTGCAATGATTTTTTTAACCCTTGACCCTTGACTCTACCAACAGCCCTATCCTAACCCTAAACCCTGAAATCCTAAACCCTAAACCTTAAAACCCGAAATCCTAAACCCTAAACCCTTAAAGCTCGACCACAGGCGCCGTCACTTTGAGTGCCTTGGAGCACTTCCTGGAGGCCGACTCTTTTTCAACAGGGCTGCTAGTGGTTTTTAGGGTTTGTAGGTTTTCTAGGGGGGGTTGCAAAGTTCGCTCGGAGTTTCATGCTTTTTGTGCGGTTTGAGTAGGATGGAGGACCCTTGCCCTACATTCGGGGTTGGGTTTGGTTGCGCCCGCCTTTCCCTCCCTTCCCTTTGTCTTGTTTGGCTAGATGGCATTTGCACCCCATCAAGTGTGCAACGGCAATGTGGCGGAACGGTGCGTAGTGGCTCGAGCCAAAAAGTCACTTTGGTATCCGCTAAGCACTGACACCTGCACATCAGACCCTAAAACTCCAGGGTTGTTGCGAGAGAGTACCCTTAAGGGGGTCTTGCGCTTGGCATGCGTCCCAGCATCGAACACCTGCAACGACGATTTGATATAGTCTACCAGACGATCAACAGGTCTCGTTGGGGAAGGCGTCACCAGCCTATCTGAGTTTTGATTCGGCGGCCTGGCCAGACCCAGAGAGCCTTAATTAAGGAATATGCTTTAAATTATAAGGGGCTTAATCGTTTCCCCCTAACATTAAATGGTCGGCCCCCCCCCCTTCGCCCTAAATAAAAACTCGAGAATGTTTTTATAATTAGGGGGCTGTTGTTATCTCACATCCTGGTTATACCTAGTTTTACCCCACCCATGAACCCAGAGACTCCAAAACCCTTGAATTAAGGAATATTGCAAAAATATAGTGGCATCCCCCATAATCATGATTTTAATGATTATTTACGGTTGAAAATACAAGTAGATAAAATAATATTCATTCGATAAAGAAACCAAAGCAAGTTGTGTTGGACAAGTCTGCACATGTAGTCAATGCCAGAAAATTGGAAATATGAAATGCTTATAATGACTGCAGTTTTTCCTGATGCCGATGAGCTTGATGAATTTGATAAATGAAGATAAGCTTGATGTTGGGAACTTGCACCAGCGAGGGTTTCGGTGGGTTTGCGCGGTTTTCGGCGGGTTTGGTTGTGCTCTTGGCGGTTTTTTGTCATTTCAAATTTCGATTCTGGATGGGGAAAGGGCCCAAGGGGACACCGCCAGAATTGGGCCTGCGACCGTGCCCAAACCACCTATCGAGGCAGCCGCCAACCCTCAGAACTATCTGGCCATGGCCTAATGGGTAAACGTCTGCCTCCAAAGCCCTCCTAGCAAAGGTCGTGGGCTCAATCCCCGGGGTGTCATTTGGGCCCTTTCCCCACCCGGAATCGAGATTTTGGGGTGACTTGAAGCTCTGGGCTCTCTGGAGACTTAAGAAACGCTATTATAAGGGCTGCAAATCACACCAAATCCGTGCAAATGCACACTAAAACCGTGCAAATGCACACTAAATCCGTGCAAAGACATACGAAATTCGTGCACATGCACACCAAGTTCGTGCTAATACACACGAAATCCATGCAAATACACACCAAATCCGTGCAAATACACACGGAATCCGTGCAAATACACGCCGAATCCATGCAAACTAAATCCGTGTAAAGAAAGACACACACTAAATCCCTCTAACTACACACCAGATACACAGTAAATGCGTGCAAATACATACGGAATCTGTGCAAATACACACTCAATCCGTGTAAATACACACACTAAATCCCTGCAATTAGACACGAAATACTGCGTGCAAATACTCAGGATCCCTGCAAACGCTAAATGCGTATAGATACACACCAAATCCATGCAAATACACACTAAATTCGTGCAACTACACAGGACATGCGTGCAAATACACACCAAATCCGTGCAAATACACACAGAATCCGTGCAAGTACATGTAAATCCGTGCAAATACACATCAAATCCATGCAAATACGTTCTAAATCCCTGCAAATATACACGGAATCCGTGCAAATACACACTAAATCTGTAAACACGCATTAAAAAAGAAGGCTTCAACAAAGGCTCAGCTGAAGCTTTGAATGCGGCTCAATTGAGCAGTTGCTGAGTCATGCAATTGTAATCCTTTGGAAGCATCGTACCCATCCACGTGCTGGTGATGTGACGGTTATGATTAAGAAACGTTCTTTTCCATGCTAGTAAGATTCGTATCTGAGTTTCATCATGAATTGTTGTTCCGACAGTCTGACGGCAGTACTTTGCTTAATATGATGATGATGAGGAGGATGATGAGGAGGATGATGAGTAGGATGAGGATGAGGATGCTTATAATGTTAATGATGATGTCGATGTCGAAGGTTTGGAGCAGCCATTGCAGCCATGTCTCATCTTCCATCCGGTCAATGCACGCTCGCTCATTGTTGTGGAAGTGGTAGCAGTTCGTAGTTGTCGTCGTAATAGGAGGAGTAGATTTAGTGAGAAGTAACAGTAGTCGTAGTCATCGCAGTGGTAGCAGTAGTAGTGGTTGTTGTTGTAGTGACAACAAGAACAGCAGCAGCAGCAGTGGTAATTAGTGGCAATGGTAACTGGTGGTAGTGGTGGTGGTAGAAGTAGTCGTCGTCATCGTAGTACAAGGAATAGTACAAGTAGAAGTAGTAGCAGCAGGATCAGTAGTAGTAGTACTAGTAGCAGCAGCAGCAGCAGCAGCAGTAGTAGTAGTCGGAGAAATAGCAGTAGTAGTAGTGGTAGCAGTCGCAGCAGTAGCAGCAATCGCAGCGGCAGCAGGAGCAGGAGTAGTAGTGGTATTGTCACTAACAGGAGTAGAACATCCGCAGCATCAGCACCAATAGCATTTGGGCAAAGGGGCATGGGAAAGTGGGAATGGGTGGGTTTTGGTGGGTTTGCGCGGTTTTCGGCGGGTTTGGTTGTGCTCTTGGCGGTTTTTGGTCATTTCAAAATTTCGATTCTGGATGGGGAAAGGGCCCACGGGGACACCGCCAGAATTGGGCCTGCGACCGTGCCCAAATCCCCTACGGAGGCAGCCGCCCACCCCCAGAACTATCTGGCCATGGCCTAATGGGTAAACGTCTGCCTCCAAAGCCCTCCTAGCAAAGGTCGTGGGCTCAATCCCCGGGGGTGTCATTTGGGCCCTTTCCCCACCCGGAATCGAGATTTTGGGGTGACCTGAAGCTCTGGGCTCTCTGGAGACTTAAGAAAAGCTCTGGGCTCTCTGGAGACTTAAGAAACGCTATTATAAGGGCTGCAAATCGCACCAAATCCGTGCAAATGCACACTAAAACCGTGCAAATGCACACTAAATCCATGCAAAGACATACGAAATTCGTGCACATGCACACCAAGTTCGTGCTAATACACACGAAATGCGTGCAAATACACACCAAATCCATGCAAATACACACTAAATCCGTGCAAATACACGCCGAATCCATGCAAACACACAATAAATCCGTGTAAAGACATACACTAAATCCCTCTAACTACACACCAGGTACGCAGTAAATGCGTGCAAATACACACGGAATCTGTGCAAATACACACTCAATCCGTGTAAATACACACACTAAATCCCTGTAATTAGACACCAAATACTGCGTGCAAATACTCAGGATCCCTGCAAACACACGCTAAATGCGTATAGATACACACCAAATCCATGCAAATACACATTAAATTCGTGCAACTACACAGGACATGCGTGCAAATACACACCAAATCCGTGCAAATACACACAGAATCAGTGCAAGTACATGTAAATCCGTGCAAATACACATCAAATCCATGCAAATACGTTCTAAATCCCTGCAAATATACACGGAATCCGTGCAAATACACACTAAATCTGTAAACACGCATTAAAAAAGAAGGCTTCAACAAAGGCTCAGCTGAAGCTTTGAATGCGGCTCAATTGAGCAGTTGCTGAGTCATGCAATTGTAATCCTTTGGAAGCATCGTACCCATCCACGTGCTGGTGATGTGACGGTTATGATTAGGAAACGTTCTTTTCCATGCTAGTAAGATTCGTATCTGAGTTTCATCATGAATTGTTGTTCCGGCAGTCTGACGGCAGTACTTTGCTTAATATGATGATGATGAGGAGGATGATGAGGAGGATGAGGATGAGGATGCTTATAATGATGATGATGATGTCGATGTCGAAGGTTTGGAGTAGCCATTGCAGCCATCTCATCTTCCATCCGGTCAATGCACGCTCGCTCATTGTTGCGGTAGTGGTAGCAGTTAGCAGTTGTCGTCGTAATAGGAGGAGTGGTTGTTGTTGTAGTGATAACAAGAATAGCAGCAGCAGCAGGAGCAGCAGTGGTAATTAGTGGCAGTGGTAATTGGTGGTGGTGGTGGTGGTGGTGATAGAAGTAGTCGTCGTCATCGTAGTACAAGGAATAGTACAAGTAGTAGTAGTAGCAGCAGGATCAGTAGTAGTACTAGTAGCAGCAGCAGCAGCAGCAGGAGTAGTAGTAGTAGTAGTAGTAGTAGTCGGAGAAATAGCAGTAGTAGTAGTGGTAGCAGTCGCAGCAGTAGCAGCAATCGCAGCGGTAGCAGGAGCAGGAGTAGTAGTGGTATTGTCACTAACAGGAGTAGAACATCCGCAGCATCAGCACCAATAGCATTTGGGCAAAGGGGCATGGGAAAGTGGGAATGGGTGGGTTTTGGTGGGTTTGCGCGGTTTTCGGCGGGTTTGGTTGTGCTCTTGGCGGTTTTTGGTCATTTCAAACTTCGATTCTGGATGGGGAAAGGGCCCGCGGGGACACCGCCAGAATTGGGCCTGCGACCGTGCCCAAATCCCCTAGGGAGGCAGCCGCCAGCCCCCAGAACTATCTGGCCATGGCCTAATGGGTAAACGTCTGCCTCCAAAGCCCTCCTCGCAAAGGCTGCGGGCTCAATCCCCGGGGCTGTCATTTGGGCCCTTTCCCCACCCGGAATCGAGATTTTGGGGTGACCTGAAGCTCTGGGCTCTCTGGAGACTTAAGAAACGCTATTATAAGGGCTGCAAATCACACCAAATCCGTGCAAATGCACACTAAATCCGTGCAAAGACATACGAAATTCGTGCGCATGCACACCAAGTTCGTGCTAATACACACGAAATGCGTGCAAATACACACCAAATCCATGCAAATACACACTAAATCTGTGCAAATACACGCCGAATCCATGCAAACACACACTAAATCCGTGTAAAGACACACACTAAATCCCTCTAACTACACACCAGGTACACAGTAAATGCGTGCAAATACACACGGAATCTGTGCAAATACACACACTAAATCCGTGTAATTAGACACCAAATACTGCGTGCAAATACTCACGATCCGTGCAAACACACGCTAAATGCGTATAAATACACACCAAATCCATGCAAATATACACTAAATTCGTGCAACTACACAGGACGTGAGTGCAAATACACACCAAATCCGTGCAAATACACACGGAATCCGTGCAAATACATCTAAATCCGTGAATCCGTGCAAATACATACTAAATCCGTGCAAATACACACTGAATCCGTGCAAATACACACTAAATCCGTGCAAATACACAAACCCGTGCAAATACACACTAAATCCGTAAATACGCATTAAAAGATAGGGTTCAATAAAGGCTTGGCTAATAAAGCTTTTCATGCGGCTCAATTGAGCAGTTGCTGAGTCATGCAATTGTAATTCTTCCCCCTAAACCCTCAATCTGTAGACCCTAAACCTTCCCCCTAATTCAAATTAGGGTTTAAAGGGCGGTGCTACTTCCGGGTGGATCGGGGGAAAAGTGTTTTTATAATTAGGGGTCTGTTTATTGTTTGGGGGAAGTGATTAATATTATGATTCAAGCTATATTCCTTAATTGAGGGGTATTGGGCTCTCTGGGGATGTGCTCATGACTGTTTCCAAAATCCTATCGGCTCTCGACTCTCGATCCCCAATTTCCCCAATTCCCAACTACCCAACCTTTAAACTTGTTGGGTCCTTATAGTTTAGTAGGAATCGGAAAGTATAACCTTTCAGTTGTGCATGTGGATTATTGGGGAGTAAGTGAAGTCAAGTCATCATGTCATCATGATTGAATCATCAACCCCTGAAAACATGGCCCATCGATTCTCTAGGTTTTAGCTTGCCGGTTTGCCCAGTCCGTCCCAGTCCGCGATGGGTTTTTGATTGCCACTGGCTGCGATTTTGTCCGCCCATTGGCCAAGGGTGCACTTCGTTATGGCTTCCGCATCGAAAGATTCGACAGACTCGACAGACCATGTCAGTGTGAGTGTGGCTCTCCTGAGCGGCAGGGCGGCTACGTTGGAAGCCATACTGGATTTGTGAACGCGGTGCAAGGTTTTGCGGCACTTGCCACGGACTCGCCAAAATGTTCGTCACCATCTCTCTACGAATCAAGAGTCAGCTGCTACCCTCAAATGCCAGCTTGAATATAGACAAACTCTACACCTTAAATCGTAATCCTGTGACGGCCTTTGACCTTTGGACCCTAAACCCTAAACCTGCCTTACATCCTAAATCCTAAACGGAAACTCTGACCCCCTGACCTTTGACCTTAAACCGCCCAAACTCTAAGCCTTTGTCCGTAAAGTCCAAAACCTGTACAGGTAGACTAACCGTCATCACGCCTCAAAAAAGAAAGCCCGAAACCCTGAACCCTAGACTTGCGACCTTGTGCCGTAAACCAGAAGACCTTGAACCACACTTTGACCCTAAACCCTAGCACTAAACCCGAGACCCTGAACCTTGCTTGGAGGGTCGGCGGACTTAGTAACTGGTTATTTTAGGGTCTTATAAGTACCCTAACCCCAATTAGGGTCCCTTTTGGGGTACTTATAAGTCTACTTACTACCTACTTCCTAAGTCCCCCGACCCTCCAAGTAAACCTTCAGCCCTAAACAGCAAACGGTACACCTTAAAGTCTGGACCCTACACCCCGACTGCAGCCGAATGTCCCTAAGCCCGAATTTGAGGGTTTCGAACTTGGGCTTTAGTATAGGCGCCGAAGTTTGAAAGACTACCTCTCATTGAGGTCATTCTTTCTTGGATTTCTATTGTGTTCCCTTACAGAGGGAGGTGTCTGTTCGTCAGTAGTCTACGCTGGGCTCTGGATGGGTTTTGGAAGCTTAGAGACTTGAGTTCATACACTTTCGGGTCAGGTAAAGAGGCTTGAGTGGGGTCTGGAATCTTTGATAGCGGCTTTGCAAAGATCCTACTGTTTAGTTTTTAGGGCCCCCTGCAGACAGATGGCGCCAAACCCTAAACCCTAAACTCCATACCCTGGAGCCCAACTGTTCGACGTGGGGGTTTGGGTTTGGCAAGTGCAGCAGCCTCACTTTCGGTTGGGGCCGCCTCGGCGTTAAGGGCTCCAGGTTTAGGCTTGTGGTTTAGTTTAGGGCGGAGGTTTAGATTTATATGGGTGGTTGTCAAAATTATGGTCCCTTCTTGGATCCCTATTATAATACGGCACCTAGTATTCAGGGTGCCCAAAAAGGGACCCTAATTTTGACAGCCACCCATATAGGCTGTTTTGGGGGGTTTAGGTAGCGAGCCTGCGAGAGTCTCATATCTGGGCTTTGACCTCAAACCCACACCCAAAGCCTCAACCCTCGACCCCACACCCAAACCCTAAACCCTAAACCCAACAGCCAACCCCAAACCCTAAAAACCCTAAACCCCACACCCCAACCCTAAACCCTAAACCCCACAGCCAAACCCCAAACCCTAAACCCCACACCCAAACCCTAAACACACACACACACACACAGCCGACTTTCCCTAAAGACAGGCCAAGGTGGAGGCCAAGACGGCTACCCAGAGGATGGAGGCTCGGGTACATGAGAATGTGGGTGTCAAAATCATGGGCCCCTTTTTGGGTCCCTGGGGTTCAGGGTTCAGGGGTTTAGGGGTTTAGGGCTTTAGGGGTTTAGGGGTTCAGGGTTTAGAGTTTAGGGTTTGCTAGGATGCCCAGTAGTACCCTTATTCCCTTTTTGTAGTCCTAGGTTCCTTATAAAGTTACCCAATACCAAAAAGGGAGCCCTTTTTATTCCTAGGTTACTGGGTATCCTAGATATAGTACGGCAGCGAAGATGTAGGGTACCCCAAAAGACCGCCCGTGAGTGCTTACGTTTCAGAACTTGGGGGTTGAACATGGGGGCAGGGGTGAGAGTGTAGGGCTTTCGGCTTGGGGTTTAGGGTTTAGGGGCTTAGGGGGCGAGGGCTCAGGATTTGGGGAATGGGTGTCAGGCCTGACATTTTGCGAAACTGTGTAGGAGAAGCGCGAGCCCTGCCCCGCAAGAGTGAGGGTTTAGGATTTCGGACCCAGGGTTCAGGGTTTCTTAGGTTCGCTGTGAAAAATGCCGAGGCTGACTTGAAATAATGCAGCCGAAATGCGGAAACTGATAGAAGACCACGTTCTTGCAAACTCTGTCGGCTTGGGGTGATTGCGACATTTTGCATGAACGCCTATCGTATCCATTGGGCTTAAGAGGATATTGTGCAGAGTTTGTTTCCCAGGGCCAGAATGGAAAGCCTAGATTAGAGCAGGAGAATTGAGCACGAAAGCATAACTCGGCTCTGATACAGGAGCATGTGAGGGTTTAGGGTCGTACTTCCCATCCCTAAGCCCGAAATAAGCTTGAATCCTAAAGCCTAAAACCTGAAATCCCCAAGCCCTAGACCCAGCACCAAGCTGACCTCGTCCGATGTGTGTGTGTGTGTGTGTGTGTTTGTGTGGGTGGTTGTCAAAATCATGATCCCTTTTTGGGTCCCTAATGGAATACGGCACCTACGATTTAGGGTACCCAAACGGGATCTCTATGTTGACAACTGCTCCTGTGTGTGTGTGTGTGTGTGTGTGGAGGCCGAGGCTTAGTTTTACAGTAGCACACCGAAGTCGAAGGCCGAGAGCAAGCTCTTAGGGGTACTTAGAAATACCTTACTAATTTTTGGTTGTTATACTCCCTAAGAAACAGCTGAAATTAACATTTTTGCCAGGGTTCTAAGTTCAGTATAGAGCTTAGGAGGCAGGAATGCACTTTTCACGGCATAAGGCCGAATGAGCAATCAAAAGGGGAAAAGGAGGGACCCTTAATGGGGACCCTTTAAGGGGATCTATAGGGATTCTATAAGGGTATAGGGTTTAGGGTTTAGGGGTTTGGGGGTTTAGGGGTTTAGGGGAAAAGGAGGGACCCTTAATGGGGACCCCTACCCTCTAATGGGCTATATACTGGGTATATAGTAGCTCTATTAAGGGCATATACCTAGGGGTCCTTATTCAGGGTCCCTCCTTTTAGCCGAATGAACAATCTCCAGCCCTGGGCCTCAATCCCAAGGCCGAAACTCCGAAAGTGATAGAACATCATTGCAAGGCCCAACCGAATCCGCTGAAGTTCCCAAACCTTACACCCCAGGGTGCGGGACATTCCCAGACTGGGCCCTGGTTGAGTAACTTATCATAAAAACCAGACAGTTGGAACATCTTTATCCTGATGCCCCTGAGGTATCGGGAATCCTTGCACTGATCGTCCTTAATCCATGTTCCAACATACTGGAGTTCACAGTAGGGTGTTGACTGAAATTAAGTTCCTTCCTTTAGCAAGAACCCACCAAACCCCTTGTGGAACAGGCCTCTATACCGCCAACCTCTTGAACTTGTAGAACCTCATGAAACTCAGTACAATCTCGCGACTACAGGGTTTTTGGGATTCCCTGAACCCAAATTCCCGGAACGTTCCACCGCAGCCACTGGAAGTGGGACTGGGACCCCTCTGCGCCTTTGCTCGGCGCTTGCGGGGCCCATGTGGGCTCGGCCCCGGGGGTTCGCGCTGCGATGGCTGAGGTGGGGCCTTTTGGGTAATTGAGGTGCAAGTTTAGGGTTGAACTCAGAGGCCCTAATAATTAGACTAGGGTTTTGGGGCGCATGATACTATAAATTTTTGAAACCCCAAAATAGTATAGGTAATTCTAAAGGCGCCCATACTAGGCTTGAAGGCTTCAATGTTTATATAGAGTTGTTTTAGGGCTTGGGGTTTGTTCGGTTTCGGGTTTTTTCGGGTTTCGATTTTTTCTCTCTCGGGTTGTATTTTTTCGTGCTTCCCGATTCCCTCCAGCCGCAACTGTGTTCAAGCTTCGGGCCTCAGAGAAGCTTCCACTTTCGTGGGCTCAAGCTTGAAAGGTCCTAAACCTTAAACTCGGAAACCTGAAGCTTTGCAACACCGAAAAATTTCAAGCACCCCCAAGCCCCTCATGCAACCCAAACCCTGAGTTTTGAGTTTTGAAAGTCTTAAACTCTAGACCCCGCAACCCACAACCCCAAGCCCCAAAGCCTCAACCGAACAACCGCAAAGCCATGATCACTAAACCCGAGACCCTACCTTAACCTGCCAAACCCTACCTTTATGTAGGTTCTTAGTATAATGCCTAATCTGGAATATATAGGGACCCTACAAAAAAGTAGGTTGTGGTAGCTTAAGGTAGACCCTAAATTCCTAATCCCCAGGGGCCGACCCCTTACATACCGGGTTCACAGGCGCTACGCGTCCGCCGCACGCGACCTGCCTCGCTTCGGACCTCTTGCAGCAGGCCGAGTTCTGTGGGTGTACAAAAGAGGCCTAAAAACCATTTTGGGGTTCCCTTCCCTACTATAATCATAGTACAATGGGCCCCAACACCCTATTCTAATTATTAAGACCCCTATATGAATGTTGGCAGAAAATCTCCCCTTTAAAGGCTCTTGTACGGGTTCCTTTAAGGGTTCGATACTGTTTTTGACCCAGTTATAGGGTTTGTCGCACGAGTGTATGTGGGGTCTGACTGATAGGTCACAAGTCATCGTTTTGTGGCGGTATATCATCAGGATACTACAACATGCTGTAAAAAAACATTGTATTGTTATGAAGGCAGGTCTATGCGTACAGTTTGGGTTGTCAGGTCTTCCAATCTCCCGTAATTAATGATGCGTGTGCCTGGAAGCGTATCCGGGAGCCGTTATCTAATCTACGAAACCTTCTCGATCTGGGTTTAGGCTTCATAGAAGCCTTCTGCTAAAGCTCCAAAACGGAAGCAGGTCCAAAAGCCTTTTAACCGGAAACCCTGAGCCCTACAAACCTCAAATCCCAAAACCACCAAAACCCAAGCGCTGCTAAACTCGAGCAAACCCCTATAAACTAGCTTAAATCATAATATGAATTTGAGGTATACTCCTTAATTAAGGGGTATTGGGCTCTCTGGGAAACTCGAGCAAACTCCTGATCGCAAACCTTCACAGGCCTGGCTGCGGCGACTTTTGCGCTGCCCAAGCCGAGCCGCACGGAGGGCTCAGGCCCGGCTGTGGTTTATCTAAGGGTAAAAGGAGGGACCCTCAATCAGGACCCCGAAACTCTTATAGATCCCTTAAAGGAGCCCTGATAATTAGTACCCTTATAGCTCCTTTCAATCCAAGGGTAAAAAAGAGGGACCCTTAATAAGGACCCCTAGGTATCTACCCTTAATAGAGCTATTGAATACCCATTATATAGCCCATTAGAGGGTAGGGGTCCCCATTAAGGGTCCCTCCTTTTCCCCTAAACCCCTAAACCCCCAAACCCCTAAACCCTAAACCCTATACCCTTATAGAATCCCTATAGATCCCCTTAAAGGGTCCCCATTAAGGGTCCCTCCTTTTCCCCTCTGATTTTAGGGTTTCACGTTTCCTGGTTCGGCTCTGAGGTTCAGAGTTTCACTGTTAAACTCCTTTTCTTCTTGAGCAGCCGCTTCTTATGAGACTTTTTCTTTTGAGGTTTCGTTTGTGGGTTCGGGTGTTTTAGGGCTTACTGTAGGACTTAAGGACTTAGGGTTACAGTGGGATTTGAGGGCTTAGGGTTCAAAAAGTAACAGCTTGCGGCTTATGTGAGGGATTGCAGCTTTATATAAGGGTCTACCCAGAAGCCGCGAGGCATCCGCGAATGCAGACAAGAAGCGAGAGAACAGAGATGAGACAAAGAAAGGATCCGAGAAGTGAGGAAGTCTGAAGAAGGTGTGAGTGGTAATCGTTGTCGTAGTTGCGGGAGAGGTCGTCGTGATGTGGTGGCGGTGGCGGTGGTGGTGGTGGTGGTGGTGGTGGTGGTGCTGGGTGGTGGTGTTCGTGGTGGTGGTACTGTTGATGGACAAAATCCTGCATACCCAGAATAAGGACTATACCATAATTCCCATAGTTTAGAGTCCTTAGGGTCATGCAGGATTTTGTCCATCAGCAGTAGTCCTGGTGGTGGTGGTGGTGGTGGTGGTAGTGGTGGTGGTGGTGGTGGTGGTGGTGGCGATGATGATGCCGAGCAACACAACGTATTGACGGCGGCCGAGGCACTTTGCGACATCCAGACATTGCCGCGGAAGATGATGCCGACATGCAGAACTGGAGCCCAAGCTAGAAGAGTAGCTGCTTTAAATGCCGTGCTATCGTAGTTATCGTAAGCCCTAGGCCCTACACACCCCCACCTAAACCCTAAGCCCTAAACCCTAAGCCCCAAACCCTAAGACCCCGAAGCCCTCAACTCCATCTTAAACCCCAGACCCCGGCCTTGGAGCCCCTACCCTGAACCCCCAACCCTAACCCTAACATCGGGGCCTTAATGGTTACCAACAGTCTTTTGGGGGTTCCGTATCATGATTATAGTACTAGGATGCCCAGTAGTACCCTGATTCCCTTTTTGTAGCCCTAGGTTCCTTATAAAGTTACCCAATACCAAAAAGAGAGGCCTTTTTTTTCTTAGGTTACTGGGTATCCTAGAGTATATTGGGCCCCAAAAACGTATTCTAAGTATTACGGCTAAGGCCCCCCATAGTACCCTA